AATTAGAACAAGTTCACAAGAGCCAAAATACGACCTTGAGTATGTTCCACCTGAATTTAGAGAACCATCTCAAGAATAAATTTGATGCATTGAAAACTAATAACCAAAGACCAGAATAGTTGTGGAATGATATCAATGACATCATACATGAAGAAAGCAAGAGATCATTAAAAGACAGGAAAGAAAGACCAAAATGGATGTCAGAAGAGACTCTGAAACTTGCTCTTGAACGTAGAGTAGCTTAAGCAAAAAAAAGAAATGATGAAGTAAAAGGGCTGAACAGAAGATTTCAAAGGGCACTCAAGAAGACAAAGTAAAGTATTATAATGAAATGTGCAAAGACCTGGAGATAGAAAACCAAAAGCGAAGAACACACTCGGCATTTCTCAAGCTGAAAGAACTAAAGAAAAAATTGAAGCCTCCAGTTGCAATATTGAAGGATTTTATGGAGAAAATATTAAACAACGCAGGAAGCACCAAAAGAAGATGAAAGGAATACACAAAGTCACTGTACCAAAAAGAATTGGTCAACATTCAACCATTTCAGGAGATAGCATATGGTCAAGAACCAATGGTACTGAAGGAAGAGGTCCAAGCTGCACTAAAGGCACTGTCGAAAAACAAGGCTTCAGGAATTGACGGAATATCAATTGAGATGTTTCAACAAACTGATGGCAGCGCTGGAGGTGCTCACGTGTCTTTGCCAAGAAATTGAGAAGACAGCTACCTGGCCAACCAACCGGAAGAGATCCATCTACGTACCCATTCCAAAGAAAGGCAACCCAACAGAATGTGGAAAGTATCAAACATTATCATTAATACCACATGCAACTAAATTTTGCTGAAAATAATTCAAAAACAGTTGCAGCAGTACATTGACAGAGAACTGCCAGAAATTCAAGCTGGATTCAGAAGGGGATGTGGAACAAGGGATATCATTGCTGATGTCAGATAGATCATGGCTGAAAGCAGAAAATACCAGAAAGATGTTTACCTGTGTTTTATTGACTATGCAATGCATTCGACTGTGTGAGTCATAACAAATTATGGATAACATTGAGAAAAATGGGAATTCCAGAACACTTCATTATGCTCATGAGGAATCTGTACATAGACCAAGAGGCAGTTGTTTGAACAGAACAAGGGGATGATACTGCATAGTTTAAAGTCAAGAAAGGTGTGGGTCAGGGTTGTATCCTTTCACCATACTTATTCAATCTGTATACTGAGCAAATAATCTGAGAAGCTGGATTATATGAAGAAGAACAGGGCATCAGATTGGAGGAAGACTCATCAACAATCTTCAATATGCAAATGATACAACCTTGCTTGCTGAAAGTGAAGAGGACTTGAAGCACTTACTGATGAAGATCAAAGACCACAGCCTTCAATATGGATTACACTTCAACATAAAGAAAACAAAAATCCTCACAACTGGACCAATAAGCAACATCGTGATAAACGGAAAAAAGATTGAAGTTGTCAAGGATTTCATTTTACTTGGATCCACAACCAACGCCCATGAAAGCAACAGTCAAGGAATCAGACAACGTATTGCATTGGGCAAATCTGCTGCAAAAGACCTCTTTAAAGTGTTAAAGATGTCACTTTAAGGACTAAGATGAGCCTGACTCAAGCCATGATGTTTTCAATCACCTAATACACATGTGAAAGTTGGACAATGAATAAGGAAGACCGAAGAAGAATTGATGCTTTTGAATCATGGTGTTGGTGAAGAATATTTAATATACCGTAGACTGCCAAAAGAACGAACTAATCTGTCTTAGAAGAAATACAGCCAGAATGTGCATTAGAAGCAAGAATAGTGAGACCTTGTTTCACACACTTTGGACATGTTATCAGGAGGGACCAGCCTCTGGAGAAGGACATCATTCTTGGTAAAGTAGAAGGGCATCGAAAAAGACAAAGACCCTCAATGAGATGAACTGACACAGTGGCTGCAACAATGGGCTCAAGCATAACAATGAATGTGAGGATGGCGCAGGACTGAGCAGAGTTTCGTTCTGTTGTACATGGGGTCACTATGAGTCAGAACCGACTAGACGGCACCTGACAACAACAGGGGCAGTGGATGGTGTCACAGGGTCTGATTGAAGCAGCTCTGCAGAGCCCAGTCCTGGGATGGCGGGAGGTGTCAGGGAGGGTGCAGACTGCAGGTGGCCTCCCTCTGGCCATCTCCTCTGAAGGAATTAGCAGCCGAGGGAGAGGGGCTCCCTGTTCCAGGCAAGTCTGGTTGTCTAAAGAGGCCCTCAGCCTTTGTCTTCTCCCTACAGCAGAGCACCTGAGTTAGCACCTGATGCACACAGCCTCTGGGTCCTCCCGGCCCACTTAATTCTCCAGCCGGGATCCCGGGCCTCTGTCCACAGGTTCCCTGACACTGACCCCCAGCACCCCTGCATTGTTTGGAGTGTTCCTCATGCTGTGCCCTCTGCTTGGAATGGCCCTCCCCACCCTGCCCACCAGGGAAGATGACTCCAAATCATCCCTCGGAGCCCAGCTCAAATGGCACTCTCCCAAAAGCCTGACCACCAACTAGAGTCCCTGCCTCGTGCCACGGTACCCCTCAACCTCTGTAGGAGCTGTTCCCTTTCTTGTGACCTGGTGCAGGGACCCCTGGCGGGCCTTCTGTGGGCTTGCCCTGCCTGGCAGTGTGGGCACCATGTGTGCAGAATGGGTTAGCACTGTGGGCCCTTTGGATGCCTGGGGTACCTCATGGCATTCAATACAAAGGTACCACGGCCTTCAGCACTTGGGCTCTAAGATGGATCTAGGCTCCTCTCCTGCCCTCCTGCCCCACGTCACTAGCTAATACTCCTAATGCTTCATGTACTCTCAAATCCTTACACTCCCTGCATGTGGGCACCATTATACACTTCTAGAAGTGAGGCCCAGAGGGGAGTGTCTTGCCCAAATCAGGATTTCACTCCTGGGGCCCTCCTGCCTCCACCCCACAATCATCACCTCTTTTGAATTGGTGGCTGATGTCAGACTGAGGACTCCAGCCCTTCCCTTCCTGGTACGCTGCTTCCAGAAACCATGTTTTAGCAGCTTACACTGCTAGCAGGGGTGCCCGCCTGGACCTCCAGGGCTCTCCTGACTCCTGTGCCTCGGGGCCCTGCTCCTTAGGGTGCTCAGCTCTTGTGTGTGGACAAGGGGCTGTGCTTTGGGCCTGCTGGGAGGAGCTCCCTGCATCTTCCTTGTGCAGCTTGGGTTCTGCAGGTCTCCCTGTATCACAGAAGCAGGAAGGGGCACTGTGGGGAGTACCCTCGAGCCGGGGTTTCTTTTTCCAGCTCAGCTCAAAGAACCTTGGGGTTTGTGGTGCGCCCCCACCAGTCACTGTGGGCACCTGCAGCTGCAGTGTTGTCTGGGGACACCCCCAGGTGCCCACCTCCAAAGGGTCTCAAGGGGACCTTGACACCCTGTCAGGTAGACCTGTCTTGTGTGCGATGCCCCCACCGGTCACTGTGCTGTCTGGACCGCAGCTGTCTGGGAGGCCACAGTTCCTGTCTGCGGGGCACACAGCTGCTCCTGTCACAAACAGTGGCATGACAGACACTGCATGTCATGCCAGACGGCTCCTCTGCAGAGCAATCTCTGCTTCAGGGGAGAACTGCTCTTTGCAGCGCATTCTCTGGAATTAAGTGAGCCTCTGAGTGTCACCCCAGGGCCTCTGTGTGGCAAAGACATGACGCGGCCCGTCGCTGGTGATTACTGTTTCCTGAGTGAGCAGCTTTTGGGCCTCCCCTCCTGCTGCTCTTGTCTGGCAGGGCCGGGCAGAGCGCCGCTCAGGGCTCAGGTTCACGCCACCTGGGATTTGGGTTATGTGGGAGGCTCCGAGAACACGGGTCAGGGAGGGCCAGGGAGGAGATACCATACCCAGAAAATACACATGGATCTTTCAAGTAATTTCTCTTGATGGTCACGTATCCTGGGCTGACCCAGGAGAGGAAGCAGACCTCCCGTTTTTTCTTAGTCAAGACTCAGAGGCTGCCTGCCACCTCTGCAGTGTGTCTGGTATAAGACATGGGCTCTACCCTTAAGGATCCTAGGACGCGTGGCAGAAACTCCGAAACGATGTGCAGTGTCTAAATCAATAGTCATGCAAAGAACGTCACAAGAAGGCTATGCTGAAGCCAGGCGGCAGGCGAGTGCAGAGGGGCAGCCTCGCCCCTGCACTGGAAACTGGTTTGTCCCCGCCTACTGCCTCTTCTCCACTTACCTTTGTGCTTTGTCCTCTGAAGATCAATGAACAAGTGAATGAATGAATGAATGTTCTCATCCTGTGTCGGGAGTGTGAAACCTGTGGTCTTTGGGGTTGAAAATGCCATCTGTACCAATAAAACTCTGCTTGGAGATATGGGACATGAATTAAAAACAAGAACCCAGCCACACTGGAACTGCCCACTCTGCAGGTACTGTCCAGCCAGCAGCCCCCAGCACTCCCTCTCACAGTGTCCCCACCTAGTCCTGGGGGCTGGGGGCCATCAGTACCTTGCTGCAGAGCCTTGACCTGTACAGGGGCTCAGGTGGGTGCCCAGTGGCAGACCTGAGCCCAAGGTTGGGGCCAACGCACTCCTTGTTTTGTCTGTGGTGCCCCACATCATAGATGAATTGGCGCTAGGCACTGTCTTCTCTTCAGCTTGGTGGCCGCAGCTGATTCCTAATGGTCCTCACGTTTCCTGCGCACAGTCACTCCACACAAGGATGTAATTAAATCCTTTGAGCAGCACTTTGGGACGTTTGATTATGTAGAAAAACTCCATAGAAATGTAAGCTGTTGTGTGCAGCTGGTTTACTCTGCGGTTTCTGTCAGTGCTCACTGTAGTGTGAAAATTACCTGGAAGGGAAGCAAAGAGGACAGAGCTGGGCGGGAAGGTCGGGTGGGGCACTGATGGGGCGCACTGCTGGTGAGTGACCACGAGCGCCACGCCTGCCCATCCATCGTGCCCTGATTAATCGCGAGGTCCCTCTCTCCCCAGGAGCTGCCAGAGCATGACGAGTTTGTTCAGTAACACCATGTCGCCCATCAAGGACGGGACCTCCTCCCTTCCCAGGAGGCAGACTTCCTTCGCCAAGCCCCCACTCCGTGCTCTGTATGACCTGCTCATCGCACCCATGGAAGGGGTAAGTGCCTCCCTGTGGTGTAGGGCATCTTGGTGTCGGAATACATCAGTTCCTGGCCGGTGCCCATGTTGTGTCCCCCTCAGATAAACACATGGGCTGCTGAGACAACCAGAGGTTTTCCAGAACACGCGCCTTCTGTGTCCAGCTCTGGTGTGCGTGTGAAAGCTAAAGCAGACTCGGGTTCTTGGTTGGCTGTGATTAGTAGGTGAGGCTTTGAGCTTCAAGTTGGCCGATCTGGTTCAGGTTCTAACTCTGCTCCTGACTAGCCGGGTAAACTTGGCTGCAGGCACCTCAGGTATGAATGAGATGATGCTCCTTCCCAGCCTGCACAGCAGCTCACTGGGAGGCTCGGGAGGTCAGGGCTGTGTACATCGAAGCCATTGTCAGTGGAGCAACGATGTTGGTGGTTGTGGCTGCCCTGCCAACTCCCATACCCCCTGGCGATTCCACGGGGGATGTGACCATGGCTCTACCATTCCCAGGAGTCCTCAGACTCTGCACTTAGACCTGCTGCAATGCTGCCCCCCTGCCTGTCCCTTCTCCTAGAATCTTGCCTTAGCCATCTCAAGCCAGGGCTTGAACAGTGGCCGAGTTTCAGAAAATCAGGCTTCAGCTCTCTCTTTTCCTTGACTTCTGACATTGTCAGAATTGCAGACTTCATCACACAGAGTACAATGTTAAGACACTCTTGCATTTGAGATTTCCCAAGAAGGTTGGAAGTTATGGCTTTTAGGTTTCCACGGCATTTCACCTGCCCTGGTCTTGACTTACCACTGTTCAACACAGACACCACACTCTGATGGGGAGGGCAATGCAAGGGGCTCAGGATCTCTGTGAATCTGAGTTTGGAGACTGTCCAGGCCACTGCACACGGGCTGTAGGAAGCCCAGGGCCACAGCCGGGGGCTATGCTTTGGAGGCCCATGGGGAGCAGACCGCTTGCCCTCTCCGTCTTCCCGCTTTCTCAGTTGTCTCCAGGTACAGGCATACCTCATTTTATTGTGCTCCACTTTATTGCGCTTGGAAGAGACTGTGTTTTTTACAAATTGAAGGTTTGTGGCAACCCTGTGTCAAGCAAATCTTATCAGCGCCATTTTTCCAACAGCATGTGCTCACTTCGTGTCTGTGTCACATTTTGGTAATTGTCACAATATTTCAGACTTTTCATTGCTGTTTTATCTGTTATGGTGATCTATGATCTTTGATGTTACTATTTTAATTGTTTTGGGGCACCACAAATTGCGCCCTATAAGATGGTAAACTTAATTGATAAATGTATGTGTTCTGCTGCTCCACCAACCAGCCATTCCCCCATCTCTCTCCCTCTCCTCGGGCCTCCCTATTTCCTGGGACAGGACAATATTAAAGTTAGGCCAATTAATAACCCTACAATGGCCTCTAAGTGTTCAAGTGAAAGGAACACTCACTTGTCTCTCACTTTAAATCAAAAACTAGAAATGATTTAAGCTTAGTGAGGAAGGCATGTTGAAAGCTGAGATGGCCCGAAAACTAGGCCTCTTACACCGAACAGTTAGCCAAGTTGTAAATGCAAAGGAAAAGTTCCTGAAGGAAATTAAAAGTGCTACTCCAAGCTTCTGGGGTCTTAAAAACGTATGAGCAGCCATCTAAGATACTCCGCTGGTCTCATCCCTTCGGGAGCAAGGGAGAATGAAGAGGACAGGATACAAGGAAAAGATCAGTCCAAAGGACTAGTGGACCACAACTACCACAGCCTCCACCAGACTGAGTCCAGTACAACTAGATGGTGCCCGGCTACTACCACTGACTGCTCTGACTGGGATCACAACAGAGGGTCCTGGACAGAGCTGGAGAAAAACGTATAACAAAATTCTAACTGACAAAAAAAGACCAGACTTACTGGCCTGATAGAGACTGGAGAAACTCCGAGAGTATGGCCCCCGGACACCTTTTTAGCTCAGTAACGAAGTCACTCCTGAGGTTCACCCTTCAGCCAAAGATTAGACAGCCCCATAAAACAAAACAAGACTAATGGGGCACAACAGTCCAGAGACAAGGACTAGAAGGCAGGAGGGGACAGGAAAGCTGGTAATAGGGAAGCCAAGTTTGAGAAGGGAGAGTGTTGACATGTCATGGGGTTGTTAACCATTGTCATAAAACAATATGTGTACTAACTGTTTAATGAGAAACTATTTGTTCTGTATACCTTCATCTAAAGTACAATAAAAAAAAAAAGAAAAAAAAAAGTGGTACTCCAGTGAACACACAAATGATAAGAAGCCAAAACAGCCTTATTGCTGATATGGAGAAAGTTTTTGATAGAAAATCAAACCACCCACAACATTGCCTTAAACCAAAGCCTAATCCAGAGCAAGGCCCTAACTCTCTTCAGTTCTATGCAGGCTGAGAGAGGTGAGGAAACTGCAGAAGAAAAGTTTGAAGCTAGCACAGGTTGCTTCATGAGGTTTAAGGAAAGAAGCCATTTCCATAACATAAAAGTGCAAGGTGAAGCAGTAAGTGCTCATGTAGAAGCTGCAGCAAGTTACCCAGATAATTATCTAAGATAACTGATGAAGGTGGCTACATTAAACAACAGATTTTCAGTAGGGACAAAATAGCCTCATATTGGAAGATGATGCTTGCTATCTAGGACTTTCGTAGCTAGAGGAGAGAGGTCAATACCTGGCTTCAAAGCTTCAAACGACAGGCCGACTCTTGTTAGGGACTGATGCAGCTGGTGACTTTATGTAGAAGCCAATGCTAATTTACCATCCTGGAAATCCTAGGGCCCTTAAGAATTACGCTAAATCTACTCTGCCTGTGCTCTATAAATGGAACAACAAAGCCTGAATGACAGCACATTTGTTTACCACATGGTTTACTGAATATTTTAAGCCCACTGTTGAGATGTACTTTGAGACTATCTTTGAAAAGATTCCTTTCAAAATATTACTGCTCATTGACAATGCACCCGGTCACCCAGGAGTCTGATGGAGATGTACAAGGAGATTAATGTTGTTTTCATGCCTGCTAATACACTATCCGTCCTGTAGCCCATGGATCGAGGAGTAATTTTGACTTTCAAATCTTATTATTTAAGAAATACATTTTGTAAGGCTATAGCTGCCATAGATAGTGATTCCTCTGATGGATCTGGGCAAAGTAAATTGAAAACCTTCTGGAAAGGATTCACCATTCTAGATGCCATTAAGAACATTCATGATTCCTGGGAGGAGGTTGAAATATCAACATTAACAGGAGTTTGGAAGATGTTGATTCCAACCTCAACATGGATGACTTTAAGGAATTCAAGACTTCGGTGGAGGATGTAACTGCAGATGTGGTGGAAATAGCAAGAGAACTAGAATTAGAAGTGGAGCCTGAAGATGTGACTGAATTGCTACAACCTCATGATAAAACTTTAACAGATGAGGAGTTGCTTCTTATGGATGAGCAAAGAAAGCAGTTTCTTGAGATGGAATTTACTCCCGGTGAAGATGCCGTGAACTTTGTTGAAATGACAACAGAGGATTTAGAATATTACATAAACTTAGTTGATAAAGCAGCGGCAGGGATTGAGAGGATGATGGTTAGCATTTTTTAGCATTAAAGTATTTTTAATTTAAGGTATGTACATTGTCTTTTTTAGATATAATGCTATTGCACACTTACTGGTTTGCATTCAGGGCCCCCTGCCCATTACTTGCTCCATTAATGTCACACTGGCTGGTGGAGAGGGGATGAAGGAGGAGAGCAGAAGGCAAAAACGGAGATTAGCTGTCAGTTGGATTGGGGGGTGGAACAGAGGGCTCCCTGTGACCATCAGCCTCTACTCCCAGTCACCCCTGCATACACTCAGAGGCTCGGACCATTTTGAGCTGGCAGGTCCCTCCCGTCTCTTGATGTTCCAGTGTCACCTCCTCTGAAGCCTTCCTTGCCCTCTTCTCCCTATCCAGCCGGCATCCACAGCACCTGGTGCTGAGTGGGGTTCAGGACTCGGCACTTTGCATGCTCTCCTTCTCCACCTTGCTGCCACCACACCCCCTGAAGGCAAGCACTGCCCCTCTTCTCTGTGTGTCTGCAGCTGGCACCAACCTGGTACGTGGTGGCACTCAGCAGAGTTTATGGACCTGCATTTGCTTTTCTGATCTAGTTGGGCACAGAAAGTGGAGACACAGCAAGAACTCCAGCCATAGGTCTTTTTGGCCATTCTCTGTGTAGAAGCTGGAGGTTTCCAAGAGGATATGAAGCAGAAGGAAGATGCTGGGCCTGCTCTTGAGAAGTTTTCACTGAATGAGCTGTCCCCTGCCAAGCATTACGTTGCCAAATTACTGGGTTATTGTGGGATAAGATCAAGAGGCCAATTGACATGCCTGGGGTAGGGCCCACATCTGAGGGTGTCGCAGCTATCCATGCCTCCACCTGGAGACAGGCTGATGGGTGGCTGCAGGTGGGGCTCTGTGCCTGGGGCAGAGATCCCCTTGGTCAAAGAGCAAGAACAGGAAGCTGGGCCAAAGAGGGGCGGCCCTGCTTCCCACCCAGACCGAAGCTGATTACAGCATCGCCAGTCCTCCTTGAAGGGGGTTCTGTGGTTTTATCAAGTCTGTACTGTTGTTGACACAGTTTTTCCCCCTGAGGACTTTCTTCTGTGACTTAAAGAATAAACATATGCCAATGGATCAGTGCTGGCTCGTGTCTGGACATTCTGATATTCCTTCAGGGAGCTAGGAAGGGGGAAGGTCTATGGACTCCAGCCTTAAACAAGTTAGAACAATGACCAAGATAACATCTTTATAAAGTTAACTAAAGAACGGGAGAAGCCGTGCCACCAGATGTGGGTGATGACTTCCTAAAAGTCCCTCCACATTTGCCGTCCAGGAGCGATGTTGTCTGAACAAATGTGGCAGAAACCTACGGCCTGGCCCTTTCTAGAAGTGAGGCATTCCATTCAAAAGCACAGCCTTAGCTCCTGATAGTTAAAAATACTGTCTTTGTGACTCAGGTGTTTGAACACAGTGAAGG